AGCAATTTTCCTGCACTCTAAAGTAAACTCGCACAATATATCACACAAGTTTCTTTCGTGTTAAAGTTTCCTCGACGTACATGTAATTTATTTTCTCCGGAATCAGTTAAAGAGTAAGAATGCCCAAATGGGAATTGTATACCCTTACAACTACTAGCAGCTCCATGTCGAATTTTCTTGGATACAGTAAATGTGCCGTGAGATGTTCCGCAAACACTATCTTGCAACTTGACAATTTTGTAGAATTTCTGTTAATTTTTTTTCCAAAATAGTACGGAACACTCAAAAAAAGTTTTCATTAATTTTATAACCTACTAGCTGGTCGGTGTTTTTTCGTGTAGTATCGAAAGCGGATAGCATGATATATCTGTTTCTTTGCAACACCTTTAATATTTTTTTAGTGCTATTTCTTTCTAACATCCCCCATAATCGTTCTTTCTGTAAAATTGTGTTCTTTCTCTATTTAACGGCTTCTATCTCTTTCTAACATCGTTTTTTCTCTTTAGAATGTCATTCCTTTTACTCTATTAAACAATTACATATTTCTCTTTGTAACTTGGCAGGTTACTTACGCCATCCATCAATTTACAGAGAGAAAGAGAATGAAAAACAGATCTTTTTTCTTCAAACGAAACTGAGTTTTTGATTAGTTGCTCAAAAGAAGTTGAAGGTACAAACTTCAAACTATGTAGTTTCATCACAGATATCTTATACCTACTTAAAACATGAGTAAAATTTTGATTTTACAAGTGGCGTAATAACTATAAGATTCTTTTACAGATAGGAACAGATATTTTCAACTAAAACTGTTGTATCCCTTGAGCTTCCTTCATAGAGTTCTTTCGCACATGTTTCTCTCTAATTTTTCAATTTCAGATTGGTATGTAGTTTTGCATTCCGAATTCAATCACTACAGCTATCTTTCATTTTAATAAGTGTAAACTTAAATCATACTGACTGAATAATTCCGTTGATAACGATGCTGATAATATTGCCACGTTTTTTAACTCTAACAAGAGAACTGTATGTACCTTAGTAGGAAAATAGTTCAAGAGGTACAAAAGTTTTCCATGGTGGAAGAATGCATTAATAAGTATTTTTAATAATCAAAGGCTGCGGAACGGTACTTAAAATTACCAATCAGTAGATATTAAAAAATGTAATCTATTTGCAAAATATATGTTTATAAATCGAGTTTTAGCACCTCTATTTATCTACACTCAAATATGCTTTCCAATTTTCTAAACTTTATGTACATTAGTTGGTATAAAAATAAAACTTTACTATTTGGGTAGTATCATCACCTGATATGAAAATGAACACCCCCAAATGAAATAACAAAGCGGTATTTACAAGAACACTATAATAAATAATAAAATTCATCAACATACTGAAATAATTGAAATTAATAGATCGTCAGGAATCAAAATGTTTTCAAGTAGGGAATTGAAAAAGCTGGTGTTCAGAGCAAGTCATATCTACGATAATGTGTTTTTACTTATTGACTACGAGACTAGAATAAAAAACTGAAAAACGATAAAACCAAAATGACAGATGTAACACCAACTTGAATAGACTCTTATAAAGAAGTTCAAAATACAGGAGACAAGGTAACAATCGAAAATCTTATGAAAACAAATGAAAACAAACTGTACAAATTGTTACAAAGGACAAATTTCAAAGAGGGTATAAATAAGAAGCAAGCAAAATGCACAAATAAAGTTAGTGTCGTTGCAGGGAAATATAACGGAATACAAACTCATGAATATCACAAAGGAGTTATGTACACCTACCTACTTTTATTATGATAAAAAATACGTTTTATGATAAGTATTTGAGATGAAAATTTATCATGAGTCTTCTGTTAAGTTTACTTACTTTGTTTCTCCGAACTCTAACTGTAGCGAAACTAAATTAACAAGTCTACAAAGGAAAACTTTATAGAAATGTAAATACTTAAGGTACGGAGGTTCTTATTTAATAACAACCATTTCGCATTTCTAGTTCCAGAAATATCCTCAGTTTTTTATAGCAAATGCTACTGTGCTTTATATAACTCAAATTACCTATCAGATCAATCAAGAGTAGATAAAGAAGTAGTTTAACAGCAGGGGCACAGTTTTTAAAAATTTAATCAGTTACCTATGTACTGTATTACCTGAAATTAGGCAGAAAACCCGTGAATAGATCTTTTACAAAAAAAAGATCAAGATATAGCCGAAAAAAAATAAGATTGGGTACTCACGTTATAAAGTAAACAAAAATATTGCAAAATGAATTTCGCAATTCTGATCGGATTCTGAATTCGTGGTCAGCGCCCCCGAAAACCCCCGTATACCAAATTTAGTCGGCCATCTTGGATCCGCCATCTTGAATTTTGCAAAATTGACCTCGGATCCGTGATGAGCGATCTCGAAAACCCCCGTATACCAAATTTACCGAGAATCTGTTATTTTTTGAAAATTTGTGTTATCTGACCTTAATTGACCCGTTTTTTTGAGGTTAGAAAAAGAACCATCACGTGACACACCAATTCTTAACCATATAAGTGAACATTTGAATATAGAAAAAAAATTTTGTATTTTTCCTAGCACTTTTTCGTAAATTTTTGCTACTTTTGACTTGTTTTTTGAGGTTAGGAAATTGCTGTGACGTGATACATAGCTCAATTCTGACACCGGATTTGTGATCAGAAGGTAAGAATACTACGGATAACATATGTCGCATTAAACTTTTTCCACGTTATTTACGCACACTCTCAGGTACACACTCTCCGTATTTGTCTAACCACAATATGTTTATTACAACATGTGACCTTGCACAATGCCGTCAACTCTTCGGAATGAAAATGGCGCATAAGTCGAGCGTTACTTTTGCGACACCAGTTATAACAAATGTACAATGGAACAGTAGAACTAAAAGAGTATTTTCTTCAACATTATAACTTTTTTCGCTACTGAGTCTTTAGTAAGTTTCGGCCACTGACAATGACTTCTATCCCCCTTAGACTTGACTGCTGTGAAGTGAGCAACATAATTTCCCAATACTGTGACTGCATTTCTGAATTCGGCACAGTTGTTGTTGTTAAAGAACTTCTGGCATGCTCGTCGTGCGCAAATCAACGTATTATTTTATCGGGAATGCAAAACGACCGATCTTGCTCATTGTTAGTTTTAGAGTCAACTAGTAAAGCGATTATTTTCGATCATCAACATTTGAAGTTTCTAATTTGGGTAATTCACTAGGCCGACACGTCTCAAACATTATTGCAATAATTTGTAGAGCATAAATTATTAACATTGACGAACAAATTATAAAAATTTCACCTTCAAAAAAGTCGTCGTCTGAAAAAAATATCATGAAAGACTCTTGACATTATCCCGTTCGATTTTTTTGGTTTGTAAACATCTATTAATGTCTTTGGAAATGTAATAATTTTACTTTATCTGAAAACATGACTTGCTTTCTTTGATTTCTCCAAGAAATAAGCTAGAAGAATCTTTTAACTTACACCACTGATATTATTTGTGCTTTTCCACTTCTGAAAGCACGTATATTTTCTTTCGAGATTTTTAGAATAATAGTTTCCCCACGGCCTCTAATGCAGTTTTTCCACATATGAAGGAAGTTTTTCTTCTTCAGCCTACCTATTTTTCGCACATTTTTACTTTTATTTTGTGCAAAACAAACAAGGCGGCACAAAGCAGTACTGACAGAGCAGAATGAAACAATAGTTATTTATTCCGGTGCCATCCATTCTCTCTAGTAACCTTGACGAAACTGAGACTTTAAAACATGGCTTAATTAGTAGAATAGATTTTTTTAATGTTTTTTAATTTTCTTTAGAAAAAAAATAAAGCGTTATACACGTCAACAAATATATTACACTTAATCCTTAAAACTTTTCACTGGTCGATAAAATATTTTTACAAACTGCTGTTGATCTTACGGATTAAGGAGTTATGCGATAAAAATGCTCTAATGCTTAACCCAAATAAATGTAAAACCTGGTTATCGGTACTTATAAAAAAACTAGACAGTTGGGGGATTTTGCTGTTTATATTGACAATTGTCCTTTGGAAAACTGTTCAGTAAAGAATCTGGGTCTTGTATTTGAAAATGACCTGAAATTCTCACATGTTAGTGAATTATGTAAGAAGACGTTCATCTCCTTTAAGCAAATAGCGCCTTTAAAACGTTATTTGAGCTCTGGCTCATCTAAATTTCTGTGATTATGTTTATTGTCCTTTATTTACAAATGCTGATAAATTTAAACTCCAAAAAATTCAAAATTGGTGCATGCGTTTTGTCACATATATACCCTTTCTTCACCATTTTACTCCTTTTATTAGACAGTTTGGTAAATTAAGACTCGGTGAAAGGCGTTATGTTCATTTTTGTGTTTTTGTAAATAATATACTGTGTAATACAACTCCTGACTATCTTTATGAGAAGTTGGTTTGGCGACATGATGTACATGATCATGTACATCAGCTCGTAATTTACATGATTTGCAAATAATGCGTCATCGAACTGAGTATTTTAGATGTTCATTTACCTATTTAGCAGCTATGGTATTAAATAATGTACTGGTGCCTTAACACTCCGTAAAGCACCTCTGACTGGGAAACGCATTCGAGAATTGGTCATGGAAAATGATAACTCCACAAATGCTGCTGTTTTTTTTAGTTTTAGTTTTTTAGTTTTTGACTTGTATTAATATAATATGCGTGTGTATATGAGTGTGAGTCCGACTATACCACGAATTTGTACATGGCTTAATTAGTAGAATAGATTTTTTAATGCTTTTTTAATGCTTTTTTGAATTAACTTTAGAAAAAATAGAACGTTATACAAGTCAATAAAATATATTAAACTTAATCCTTAAAACTTTTCACTGGTCGATAAAATATTTTTACGTCCAGTTCAGTAAATAACTAATATTATTTCAAACAATGCGTAAAAAAATATTTGTAAGCTTATAATTTCATAATATTCACCTGTTCGGCAATGTAGAAAGAACAACAGCCACTGGTGTGCCCGGGAGTACTCAGCACTTTTAGTTGATGTCCTCCGAAAGTTATGTAGTCACCTTCATCGACGAAAATGTCTGCCTGGGCACCGCTTCTGCTCGATATGATGCTTTTACATCCTGAAAGAAGTTTGAGGCTTCCCGTTCCAGTAATATGGTCTGCGTGCATGTGAGTATTAACTGAAAATGAAATAGGTTCTTGGATAATTTGTAATAACTGGGTAATTTTCTATTTATTTATTTTTATTATTATTATTAAGTGGTTGCATTTGCTGGAAAGCTCTTGGCTTATTTTTAAACATGACATTCAAAAATTATCTTTTTAATACTGTGTACAGGGTGTTGCAGATATAATGTTGCAAGTTTATAATCATCCTATACAGTTACTAACTCTTAAAGTTAGAATTGAAAATTGAATTTTCGTTATAAATTTTTTGTTTCTATTGCATTTGGGTAATTTTTGAGTAAGTTCTATTACTGGAAGCTATTTCCTCTAGCAAGTACTTATTCAATTTACCGATAACTATTTTCGGGTGCACAGGGACGAAGCTCCCAACAAAATTTATAAATCTACTTTTTAAATTTTTATTGACAATTTTTCTGTCGTACATTTTCAAGTGAAAAATATTTACTTGCTTGTTATCGATACAAGAACACTTTTGTAGTTAAACGTGTTTAACGATAAAGATACCGTTTTCGGCGTTATATCTGGCAAAATAAATTTGATATTACGTACTTCATTTTGACCTCATATATTTAGTGTTATTAAAATAATATATTTGTCGAAATGGTATTTATATGGTTAAACGACTTTATCTGGAAAATAGTTCGTTATATCGATAACAAACTATATTTTTCACTTAAAAACTTCGAAAGTTTTAAAAAATGTCGATAAAAATTAAAAGCCAAGTCTACTCCTGGGCCCTCAAAGTAGTTTTCAGTAAATTTAACACATTAGTAAAAATAGCTTTTAAAAACGAACCCAAAAAAGCCACTACGAAATAGTGCTAGAGCTAGATTGCAAAAGACTATTTTTGCATTCGAGAATGAAATTTTCCTCAAAAATCATTCGCGAATGAAAAATAATCTCGCAATCGAGTAGGTATCAAACAAATTTTTTTCGAAAACTGTATCCCAAGTGAAAAATATGACATTTAAAATTATTTGACATGAATGTTATCTACAATTTACTGCACATGTTTTGATATCAAATAACAAAGAAGCTTTAGTAAACAATCAACAATTCTATTTAAAAAAACAAATTTTTTAAAATTTTGAATTACTGGCGTTTATTCAATAATTTTATCACTGGAATTGAATAAAACCGTGAGACATGTTAGAAAGTGATGAAGATCTACCATGTGAAGCGTCTGAAGCAGCGAAAATTGCAATTTCTGGACTTATTGCCGACAAATCGATGAGTATAACTTTTAGAAGTAATATGATTCTCAGAAATTAAAAAATGTGTCTGAAAGTGTGATATTGGTATATTTTAAATATAAAATTGAGAGTTTAGCCGACAACATTATGGTCTATACATATAATCAATGCTGTAGAAAACACTAAACGTCAAACAAAATACAGATATAGAGAAATATTCCAAATTAGTATCGTATTTGAAAAAATTCAAAAGATTTACCAAAAACGGATATTAAGAAATTCTTACAAGAGACATCAGATGAAGGCTTCTTATTAATGAAGGTGTCATATTAATTCATTGGTATTTTTATAGATTTGTTGAACGTCATAAACCTAGTAAACTATGGACCGGCCCTAGAAAGAGAGGTCAGTCGCGCTGATGTGTGCAAGGCAGATGAAGATAGTGCAGGTAGATACTGGTAAAACAAATAATGGTACACGGGTATACCGGTACAAAAGACCGTAAAGAAACCTTAGAGTAAAAGTCATATAAATGATTTCTTAAATTTTTGTGTGTAGATGAAATATTTGTGAAAACTAAATATGGTGCAAGAGGAGAAAAAATAAAATTTGATTGGTAGGAAAGTTATGATGGTACCAACATGTTTATACGACTCGTACTTTTCGCGTCTTTCTGAAAATAATGGCCAAGTTGTGTTGTCTCTGATGATAACACATTTGATTATATTATTTCCCCCATCCTCAAAAAATGTCTTCTGAACGTCAAAATTTTGCCCCCTTAAATGTCTCACTCTTCAAGTTATTTTTTATCATCAAATTAAATACATATAAATAAACAGTTTCAACTGTATTGTGCTCATAGTATGCTGCAGCAAAACTTCTCTTTAAATAATATGTTGAAGAAGAAAGCATCGAAAAGCTTGCAGTAATTTTAACTGAACGAGCTTACGATATGAGGAAATTAATTTTCATACAAAGTCGAGTGGGTTGTGTATGTCTAGGTTTTGTAGGCTGCTGAAAACAAATGTGGGTGGCAAAGGGTGCTGATGGTTGACGAGGGAGTTGGATTCATTTCACAGGCACACAAAAAAATGTCAAGATCCAGAGGGTAGACCCCCCTTCCCCTCTGCTTTTGGGGTCGCTAAAACCGAATATAAAAAAATTTAACTAGTCATTTCCTACTACAAGACTACTGAAAATGAATCCAACCCCCTCGTCAACCCTCAGCACTCTTTGCCACCCACATTTGTTTTCAGCAGCCTAGAATGCGTAGGCATATACAACCCACTCGACTTTGTATGAAAATTGACACTTCAACCCCCATAAAGGGGTATATGGGGGTGGTAAAGTGACGCTAAGGGGTAACGAGGGGGTCTTATTCATTTTTGGTAGACTTCTTTGTTCTTAGTGGCCCAGAAAACAAAAGAATACCCACCCTACTCGACTTTATATGAGAATTGACATTTCAACTCCCAGAAAGGGGTGTACGGGGGTGGTAAAGAGACGCTAGGTGGTAACGAGGGGGTCTAATTCATTTTGGTAGTCTTCTTCGTTCTTAGTGGCCCAGAAAACACAGTAATACACACCCCACTCGACTTTGTATGATAACTGACATTACGGTAACGGGAAAATGGAATTTATTTTTTTTAATGGTCATATTAGGTTTCAGCGACCTCAGAAACGGAGGGGTAGGTGGGTCTACCCTCTGGATCTTGAAATTTTTTTTGTGTGGCTGTGTAACAATTAAAATTCGAAAATTTTTTCTGAAGTATGTCAGGGAAACATGTGTTAACCAAGTGGTTGGCGTCAACAGAATACGGAATGTGCCAAAAGAAATAGCAACTTATCTCAATTTGCCTCATTCATTGCCTGAAACTTATACAGGATACTGCTTTAGACGTTCTTCAGCCACTCTGTTAGCTGACGAAGGGGCTGATATTACCACCATTAAACGACATGGGAGGTAGCGTACTAGTAAGGTAGCGGAGACATATATAGAGGATTCTACAGTGTTTTCGAAAAGTAACGAATAAAATAATTATTTTTTAAATTGAGAAGTTTTCGAAAAAATCCCCTGGCACGTCGATTTTGTTTTTAAAAAAGGCACTTTTTGACATACGATCCATATTTGTGACGTCATCGTTGTTCGAGATATGACGTCATCGACAATTTTTTTAAATAGCAGCCCCCAATTTTGACCATGCCATTTGAAAGAGCGTGTCATTCTACATACGCATCATGAAAAATCATGGTTGCCTGACGGTAGCCTTAGCGACCGAGAATGTTTTTTATTGCTGTCAGATAAAAACTTGAAATCGTACTTTATTAAATAGTTTTTTGAGTTATTTCTTTAGTTCTTATCTTTTGTTTGGCAAAAGCAGTGCGTTTGAAGTGTTTATTGAGTAGTAACTTTGTCATTTTATAAAAATAATGGTTAAATTAACTGAACGAGAACGAATTTAAATTCTTTGCATGATCGGATTTGGAGACAGGATGCGCACCCAAAAAGAAGTAGTTGAATTGTTCAATGAAACTCATCCTGATCGACATCCCATTAGCCAAAGCATGGTAAGCAATATTGAGTCGAAATACCGTAACTTTGGACATATTCGTGATCTTCCTAAATCTGGTCGACCGTCAAAATCAGTAGATGATGAGCTTAATGTTTTGTTGGCAATAAAATAAATCGTCACTCAACACTTAACCAATTGGCACAAAATTATGAAAAAAGCAAAGTATCATCCTTATAAAGTATGCCTTGTTCATGAGCTATCTGAAGACGACTTTGATCGGCGAAATCAATTCTGCGAGCAAATGCAAGAGCTATGCAATTATGATAATAATTTCGTAAAAAACGTAATTTTTTCTGATGAGGCTACGTTTGTTTGGAACGGCCAATAGGCAAAACTGCCATTATTGGGCTACCGAGAATCCCCGATGGATGATGGAGTATCACACTCAAAGTCCCCAGAAAGTAAATGTGTGATGCGGCATAGTCGACGGAAGAATTCTGGGTCCCTATTTCTTTGACGTCAACCTAACTGGTGCAAGATATTTGGATTTTCTTCGAGACGACCTCATTCCGGACTAATAACTTTATATCCAGATATAGAGGGACATGATCTTCCAAGAAATGACATTTTCTTTCAATAAGATGGTGCACCTCCCCATTATGCAACACCTGTCCGTGCTTATTTAGATGAGCTGTCCCCGAATCGTTGGATAGGGAGAAGGGGGCCGATTGAGTGGCCAGCCAGATCGCCTGATTTGACACCCCTAGATTATTTCTTGTGGGGATACTTAAAAAGCAAAGTATACGTTACTAGACCGGTTAATTTAGAAGATTTAAAAGCAAGAATTCCTCACGAGATACATCGTATACCTCCTGAAGTTATTGATAATGTCCAAAAAGAATTTATTAATCGTCTTGGCTACTGTCAGGCAGCCAACGGTGCACAATTTGAACATTTAATTTAGTCGATTTTTACATAATCATTATCATTTTCAGTATTGTGAAAATTAAATTTTAAAATCTTCAAACATTATATTCTTGAAATTTTTGTTATGTAACACCATAATTTTTCATGATGCGTATGTAGAATGACACGCTCTTTCAAATGGCATGGTCAAAATTGGGGGTTGCTATTTAAAAAAATTGTCGATGACGTCATATCTCAAACAACGATGACGTCACAAATATGGGTCGTATGTCAAAAAGTGCCTTTTTTTTAAAAAATCGACGTGCCAGGGAATTTTTTCGAAAACTTCTCAATTTAAAAAATAATGAATTTATTCGTTACTTTCCGAAAGCACTGTATACAAAATAAAATTTCAATCGCAAATAATAATACAACGTGCACAGTAAACTTAAACAATTACAGCATCAGCCTCATTGAACACCCAGAACTAAAAGCTACGATAACTGACAGCACTGGGTCTCACATAAATTTAATTCAATTTCAATTTACATGTAGGTAGTGCAAAATAAATTGTAATCGTCCTATTTTTAATAGTCACTGTTTTGTATTGAAATGTTGTATTACTTAAAATGTAGGTATATTGTTTAATTAATAAAATCATAAATAAGTTTCCAAAAAATGACAAATTAGTTTGAAATTTGTTTTATGTTCTAGAACGAAAAAGACTTCTAGTTCTAGAACATAAAAAAATAAAACTAGTAAAAGTCAAAAAAAGTTCAGAAGACGAAAATAGATAGACTTTGGACTAAGAGTATTTTGCTAAGTGAGAAAAAATACTCACTTTCTCAACTGAAAATTTAACGAAAATGTCGACTTTTGAGGACAGTCTTCGAAAAAATTTACAGGGTGAGCTCGAATAAAAAGAAAATATAAACTTAACGTTATTTTTGCAAAACCTACCCAAATCCCAGAGATTGTTTAACATTTTCCGGACACCCTGTATACAAAAATCATAATATTTGTAGGTACCCATATGAGAATACTGCAAGAAGGAATGTCAAGTCAATTTTAGTTAACATTAACAAATTTATTCACCCTATACAAATTTATGAGTTCATATATTTTCCATAAAAATATGTAAAATAGGTACACATGATTTACATACAGACTTGTTTGTCAAAAAGGTAGGTAGATATATGTATTACGTATAGGTTAATTATTCCCATATCCCAGATATAAATAAATTTAAACCGCCTACATAACAACATAATACGACCCTCAAACAAACACAAAAACAAGTGACCCTAAACCCTAGCGGCCGTATATCACTTACCTGCGTAAACCAAATTCAAATTTAAATCCTTTGTGAGTTGAAAGTCCCGCTTTGCATGCTCGAGTACTGGATCGATAAGTATGCATTCTCTAGTTCCCGGGTCTGCCAACAGATAAGTGTAGGTGCTGCTTACGGAATCGAACAACTGAAAACAAATAAAGCACATATTGGAAATTAATGTTTGACATGAGTGTATCTGTCAGTTACCTGTCGAAATACAAGTTTGTTTGTGTCGCTGCTATAATTCCGAATCTGCTGTTTCGGTAGCTTCCCCATTAACAAGAGTCCAAATTTTGTTGCCATAGTTACCTAGTACTTGCTTACCTACTTAATAAGATGAGACCGAGAAGTGATTTGATAGGGCTTCTCTTTCATGACGTACTGACGAGTGGTTTATCCCTAGTAAACAATTTTTTTAGGGAACCATTATAATCACATATTAATCTTTATATCTTTGTATTTTTTTGGTCACGTACACTTGTACTCATTAGTTATTGAATAAACATGCTGCGCCATCTACCCGATATGTGATGAACTTTACTAGCCAGTTTAGGAAACCCTAAATCGAATTCTACTTTAGAATTAGAAAGGAGAAACTTCAAAATTTAAATTTCTAGTTGGTTGTAATGTGTAAATTGAATCTTAATATCGATTCTTCAAAGATGATATGATACAGGTTTCTTAGCATACACTTTTAGAATTTCCTAAAAATTTTTATATCGCATTGGAAGTCTAGATTTCTTCTAATTTATGGTTTGTTTTTTTAAAGTTTTAAATAATTTAGAATAAGATCCACTTCATACTTAGAATTTGAAAAAAAAAAAAAGATTATTGCATGTTACACCATCTAAATAAGTACCTATATGTGGAACCATGAGATATATTTGAAGCAAATGATAAAAGAACGTTCTTCTTCCATTAGAAGCTTCTGGGCTGTGATTGGGCCTCTTGTTTTTAGATATGTTCACAATTTTTTTTTCGACAGCTAGTATATTTTTCAAATTATTTTGAAAGTAACAGTTATTTATGTTCTAGTGTATTACGGTATATATGTCAGGCTGGGAAAATTTCCCAAGTGACTTATATGACGTAACACACGAGTGCCATACAAAATTTTATCCAATAAAATAAATAAAAGTAACTTAAAATTTCAAGTTGTCACCGTCAGAAAAAGTAATTTAACAAAATGAAATATTACAAAGGATATGAGTGTCAATCTAAATTGTGTCGGTAACCAAGGATTGTCAGTAAACAAACAATATTTTTTTAGTTGAAATCACGCTGAAATTCTAAAACCAAGACTCAAAAAATGGAAAATGTGGAAATTCCATCTGAAATTATAGAAAAAGCTAATGCGGCTATTGCAGGCATCATTCCGGAGAAATCAAAATCTATATACAATAAAGAACTGAAGGAATTTCAAGATTGGAAAATCAAAGAAGGGGTGAAAGACGTAAATGAAGATGTCTCTTGGCTTATTTTTTCAATTTAAGTGACAAATTACCTCCATCCCCATTGTGGACTAAATATTCCATGTTGAAGTCAACTTTGAGAGTTTACAAGAACATTGAAATTTCTAAATTCGGAAGACTAGTGGCATATATAAAGTCATTTTCAACCAAAAAAATCCAAGGTCTTAGAAAGAGAACAAATCGAACAATTTTTGCGTGAAGCCCTAGACGAAGATCATCTTATGAATAAGGTAGGTTCTGGATCTACTGAATTGTTTAACTGACTATATTTATTAAATTTATTGATTTTATGTAGCGTTGATATTAGGAGTTTTTGACGCTTGCCGTTGCGAGGAATTAACCCATCTAAGCATAGACAATATAAAGCACAAATACCTAGTAAAACGAACAAACCAAGGAGCTTCGCTGTGTTAAATGGAAGATTTTGTGTTAATCCAGTTGAATCAATTAAAAAATATTCTAAGCTAAAGCCTCAAAATGTACAGCATAAAAGGTTCTTTTGTAATTTTCAAAAGGGAAAATGCACACGTCAATGTGTTGGTATTAGCTTTGTTCCAAGTGCATTAGAATTAGTTTCCAACAGTCCGACGCAATCGCATTTGATTCAAAACAATGAATTTTGAACCTTATGTAAGCATTATATCCATATGCGCATGCGTCTGACTGTTTGAAACTGTTTTGGATTCTACTAGGACAAAGCTATTAATAAGCTATCAAAAATTCCTAATGTTGTTGCGCGATTTTTGGGTTATATACAGGGCATGGCTTGCGTCACGCATTTGCAACTCTCTTGGCTAATGCTGGAGGGAATATTGCAACACTCAAACGCCACGGTGGATGGAAGTCATCTACCGTATCAGAAGGTTATATAGAAGAGTCAATTTCCACCAAAATTGATATTACTAAAAAGATACAAGGGATGCAGGCTCCTGAAGCAAGCACAAGCTAATGGACAACCTGTTCTATAAAACCACAAATCACAAAATGATTCCAATAATCCTTTGGCGTCAAATTACGGCTTTACCATAAATGTTAATGTTAATTTTATAATATATACATACTGTTTCATATTGGTTTTCTAATAAAAACTAGAAAAATAAACCAAACATTTGTTTTTTTATGATTTCTATAAGTCACTAGTGGGTTATAAGTCATAACTTATTGGTGACTTATGACTTATAATTCACTAGTGACTTATAAGCCACATTATTCCTTTAAAACCAAAGAAATTATAGTATCATTATATTCAAGTGTTAGATAAAAGTATTTTCCAAACAGGCACTGGGTATGCAACACACAATACTAGCTTCCCGTATATATATTTGACTACATCTTGTACCATTCAATAGTAAATATAAAGGAGAATCAATATCCTGGGTCTGAGTAGTTGGGCACTTACAATAAGCAAGTAACTTCAGATTTTTGAAGTGAGGGGTAGTTACAATATCATTAATTCTTACTTATTATATATAGTAAACAACGAGTCAATTCCAATTGCCTCTTAAATATTGACGGTGTCACTCAATTTGCGTTAAGAACATTTAGTCGTGATTTACAGTGATTTGCAACAATGCATTTATTGAAAAATTTAAACGTATCAAAACCGCCTCAGTTTTGTATAGTATTTGGCACAGTTGCTCCATATTCTTTTTGCATTTAATCTGGACTTATTGGACTGGTGCTACTGAGTATTAATGGATTGGACAGCAAATATGACAGCGGATCAGTACACCATCATCTAATTTTTAAAACCATTTTGAAGACTGAACTAAGACGCAATACACTTTTATGAGATATTTTAGTGGGAGAAAATCAAGTTTGCACTGGATCAGCTGTTAGTTGTTGGCTGACAGCTGATCGCGAAAACAAAATACAAAACATTTCATTTCAGTCCGAGCGTGGCTGGCTTCGTTGCAGCAGGTCTCGGAGTCGTGTTATTTTTATCGATTGCGAACAGGTTGTTGTGTTTATAAATAAGCCATAGCACCTTAAAATATTGTTTGTAGACTGTCCTCGAGTACAGTGTCGGATCTGTGCGACCCCTAAGTTATGCCATATAGTCCTGGATTGCTCTTTGTTTATGGAATTGTTATCCAAGCTCCATCCTTTGTTATACAGGTAAGATAGTTCGGGTATTTCCGAGAGATGTCGGTTTGTTATGTAAACAGTATTATGGGGAATCCTTGAGGTGAATGTTTCGTAGAATAATTCCTGTCGTTTTCTTTGTGCAAATTGCTGTAATTCATGCTCATTTATTTGATGTGAACGTTGTTTGATATAAGTGTACACTTTCATTTTTGATAATAAGCGCATGAATTTGTAATGCAACATTATGTAAGTTTTACGGATCGATGGTTGGATATTTTCTAATGAGATAATTAGTAATTCCTTAATGGAACATGTGTCAAAAACGAGAAATTTGTTAAACGATAATTATTAAAACCTCAACTCATTAAGCGCTTGCGTTTACTAATCCATGAAAATCAAACACAAAGCTTTAGATTAACGAACAGTTAAGAAAACAGTATTCCGCAACAATTTGCAACAGATTGGATACCTACTTACCTTAACTTCGAGGTTTAACCACAAAACGAAGATATCGGCTATGATTGCATCTTTGTTTATTCGCAGCGGTACTTAATTAGTGCATCTTGAAAATAAATAGTATATTTGTCAAAAAAATACTCATTGCAATAGAGACAGAAGCCTTCCAGAATGGGGTTAATTCATTATCTTCGCAAAAAGTAACTGATATATCTACCTGCTTTAAGTATCAGTAACGTTATTCTCAAACCTAAAACAATGAAATATTCTAAATTATGATATGGTATCACTCATAATTTCAATGAAGAAGTGTGGTCTCTGTTGGTAAATAATACCATCATCAAGATGTTGCTAACTTCGTAGCTGTATTTACTCGAGAATCTAAAATATTGCCAGAGCCTTTGTCCACTACCATTAGTCTTAATAATTTGAAGCAGATATTAGATATCCCTGGAAAGATATCTATTTGTGTAAATTTTAATGACTTCAATTTTATTTCTTTCTAGCCATCTTGTACAGAAGAATATATAAATAGATATTAGATTAACAGTTCGATATATTTATTAGAATATACATGTATAGCTACCGACAATAACTAAGTTGTGCTTTTGAATCGCTTCTGATGAAATTTTGGATTGAAATATTTGGAAGATGAGAACCCGGATAAAAAGTGCAAAAGAACTTTTGAAATGAAGTGGGTGTATCTGTGTTTCCCAAAATGGGACTACCTAAGCTACATCTAGCGTGCTACAAAAAGTAGTATCTACACCTACGTAGACAAAAATGAATATTAGATGATTTATATGCTGGGTTTTACCTATTTTACCTCGACATTTACTAGAAAAGAAGAAGGTAACTTTGCAGGCTTATAGGTATAATTAATAAAAAGTAATATTTCTTAGTAAATCAGTTCTTAAACTAAATCTAGTTTCATAAAGAAATAATTCTTCCTGTGCTGACTTTAGATAGGTATCTACATTAATATTTAATATCTACGTCTTACAATTACAAACACTGTTCAAAACCTCATACAATAAAGCGATAGAACAAAAAATATCCTGTATGGGTATGTCTGGCTTAAACCGGTACCTAACCTACCTTTGTGTCTGTGATCCGATTGTAGAATGTACAAGTTCTCTGAAGGACAAATATACAATTTAATAAGAGGTTTCCACTGCCAACATGAAGACAATTGTTGCTAAGCAAATATTGAGTTTAAACAGAACTATGTTCAGGATATTCACATGAAAATTTCATAGCTTCGACAGAACCTAATCGATTTCAATCATTTGATTGTAAGCAGTGAGTTTTTAGTAAAATAACCATTATTTTTTACAATAACTACTATAATTTTACTAATTCAGTCAATTTTCGACCTGATTTTTCAATTAATTTAATTTAATTCTAATTCCTGGACACGAAGAAAATATTCTTTCCTTATACAGTCTCTGTCTCCTAAAAAAACATCGCAAGCCATAACTCCGTTATTGACAGTCTCATTTCAAAAACTACCAAAATTAAATGAAACGGCTCTAAATACACTATAGAGGGAGCCAATCAGAGCTTATTTACTATTCTTTTTTTTTTGAAAAGCGATAGTCAACTTTTTTTCAAATGTCAATATTGTTTTTTTGTTATTTATTATTGTGCAGATTTATTTTCTGAATCCAACGATGTACAGGGTGTCCCGAAATTCATGCAACAATATTTGGTAATAGATTCTTAAGATATATTTAGGGGACCCGTATTTTTTATTTTTGCCAACTGGTCCCCTCTTTCCTACTTACAACCCCCTGAAATCGGCCTCTAAAAAGTATTTTTTATATCTCAAAACCATGTTGTACGAGAATCACTAAATTTGGTACACAGGGGTTTTATGACATGTGAAATCTCATAGTGCTACGCTTTTTGGCGGGAAACCCCCTTAAGACACTTTTTCGTGGGCCCCCTTTTCTTTGGAACCAGAAAAGTTTGGTCGCAAATTTGATTTATTTTTAATTATTAGTTAGCTAGAAAGCCATTGAATTTAGAAACTTTTTTCTCTTGATATTTGTTTCGTAAAATGCAATGTTTTTGAAGAAAATGGCGAATCACAATGCATTCGATCACATTTTGACATTTTTCTCGAAAACGTTGCGTTTTACGAAAAAAGTACAAAGAGACAAACAGTTTCTAAATTTAATGGCTTTCTAGTGGACTTATAATTTTTAAGAAATTTAAATGTGGGACCAAATTTTTTTGGCTCCAAAGACAAGGGGGCCCACGAAAAAGTATCTTAAGGGGGTTCCCCGCCAAAAAATATGGCACCATCAGATTCCACATGTAATAAAACCCCTGTGTATCAACTTTAGTGGTTCTCGTATAACAGGGTTCTGAGATATAAAAAAAAGATTATTCTTAGAGGCGGACTTCAGGGGGCTGTAACTCTGAAAGACGGGGCGACTTGGCAAAAATAAAAATTACGGGTCCCCTAAATTTGTCTTAAGAGTCTGTGACCAAATTTTATTGGATGAATTTCGGGACACCCTGTATATGAACTTGACTTTTGTAAAGCATTTATTACAGAAAAGACGATAAAATATTAGTCGATACCGCATTCAGCAACCGGCCACTAATTGATGACAAATGTATTTTAACTAATCATCTGTGCCATGGAAAACAGAAAATGATACAGCAAAACAAATAAAATTCAAAAGAGAATTTTGTAGCTAACAGAAAAGAAACAATACGATAATATTCATTAAAAGAAAAACAATTTAATTAAATACATTAACTATTAAACAAAGTTCGACACGAAATAACATTCATTAAACACAAAACGAAGAATAAACATAAAACAACTAAAGAAACAAATTGTAGCCGTAGTTCTCTATCGTTTTCCTCTAATGTCTGTACTTTTTGAGGAATGTATGGCTTGAATTTGTGCTTTTTCAATACTTCATGTACAGTTCTCTTTGATGCTCTAATATTGTTAGAAATTTCGCTAATGGAAGTTCTTGGGTTTTCTTCAACGTTAAGAAAAACATTGTTTTCATTAAATTCTTCTCTCTTTGGTTTCTTAAAAGCACCATAGTGTCTGAAATTTTCTTCCAGTCTTACGTGGTTCTGGATTCTGGAACTTCTCTGTGAGGCAATAGTTCTCTGTAAAAGCGGACTCCTGCACCATGATTTTTATTACACCGAAAGTATACCTGAATCATGTCCATCAATTGATTACTACTCATATTTTGCACTGTTGAGCTTATTTCAATAAATAACCTACTGTAAATGACACAGAACGGGTATAATGCTATAATGCCTAAAAAACTGGGACACGAACGCTAAAATGACATTTACTTGCATTGTTGTATTATCTTTTGTTTTCCAGGCATACATGATTAGTTAAAATATGTTGGTTGTCAATTAAGCGACCGGGCACTAATAATGCGGTATTGACTAATATTTTCATGCTTTTTCTGTAAAAATTTTATATATATCGTTGAATTCAGAATAGAAATCTGCACAATAATAAATAGAAAAACCTATATTGCTATTTGAAAACAAAAGTTAACTATCGGTTTTGAAAATCCAATAGGCTCACTCTATAGTGTACTTAGAGCCATTTCACATAATTTTTTGTTTTTTAAAATCAGACTATAAATAACGGAGGTATGGCTTGCGGCGTTTTTTAGGAGACAGCCTGTATACTATAGAGATCCCCTGCTACACCGATCAAAAAGTTATTGTAAATCAGTTGGTAAAATTGAAATATATAATAAACCAGTTGTCAGATTTAGTTATTATCAAGAAGTTAATAAAAAATGTGTAAAGGTATTGAAATATAAAATTTAAAAAATCCGCTAATTTGATATAAAAAAGCGCACTTTGTTATTTATAAAATGATTACAAATTTATATAAATAAGACGAATAAGACATTTCAATCAGATACAAAGCAATAAACTTCGTAGTAATGTTTCAAGGTCGATTTGTTAATAAATTATTCAGTTTAACTAAATATTATTTTTTATTTATTAGTTTCGTCAAATAAATTATAGAACGCAAATCTTATTTCATGGAAAGATAAGAAATACGCTCGTAATTATGAAATATTCGTTAGTGATATATAATATTGTTATTTTGGACAGAAATTTGTAATCTGAAATACGTACTCATAATTAGTATTATTGGGGAGAGGAGGTGTTTTAAAAACATATAATGCCCGTCTTATGTGCGACGTAAATAATTGTTTTTTATATTTTTAATATATTTTTCATAGTTACTTTGCAATAAAATAATTTTAGCCTAGATGACAGATATTTACATTGCATTATGTTTAGTTGGATTAATCCTGGATGCATGAACGTATACTTCTCATGTAAGTAATTAGGCTCCACAGTTTTGAGTTTACCTTCACTCAGCTTCCAGTTTTCCTTTTCCGAACAATAGATAGGGAACCCTTGCTAGTCCAAAACATGGACTGCGATCTCCCCTTCCTCCTAGCAGTCTTCGTCCAGACCGGTCTAACTTAGATGTTTCCTTAGTCTGAAATGTCCTGTTAACCAACATGTGTTATCCTTACTGTTCTACGTCTTTC